TATATAATCGCATAATACTGCTTCAAATAACACCAAATAGTAATTTAACTTTTTTATTAATGGATTTTTTTATAATTTAATTCATAATTAACTATGAACGATATTCTATTCGGATAGTATAATAACAAAGTCATCGTGAAAATATAAAATATATGTGGTGGTATTTAAAAATCCTTTATTAAGATAATGAAAATAGAAATATGTTCAAAGTATTATTTTTAGTGTAATACATTGGTTACAGATATTTTTTATACTGGTTATATTATTTTTTGCATCAAAATGATATAGAATCTGATATTTTACATTTGAGATGTCCTAATAATATCCTTTTAGCTTTTCAATACGCCCTCTTAATAAATTTTTATAGAATATTGATGTAGATGTATGAAAAGTTTGGTTCCATTTAGAATGAAAGTTATGGTGCGAATAGTAAGAACGAGTCTCCACCATCGGATCAATCATATTTGAAGTTTAACACTGATTTGTTGCACCAAGAAATACCGGATGAATACCCGTGATAAATGCGATTCGTAAGGATGAAAGTAAGATTAAAAATGATCAAGAGTCTAGATCTCTTCTTACACTTTTTGCCTTAACTCATATTTTAACAAGTTATTTACATTTAATAATTCCACATGTTATTGATAAAAATTTGATGGCAATATATTTTGATAATAATAATGGTCAAAGGTCAAGTGTTTGGAGGCCTTGGGTTCAAATCGAAGAAGGAATAAATTTTTTTTTGTGACCATAGAGGTTCAAATGTGATGACTCCGGCCTATCCAGAAAGTAGATGGTCACCCTGTGATAAGTCGACTCGCATAGCAAGTTGGATGTATATGTTAATAAAAAAATGATTTTGATTTGTTTAATTCATTAGAGAAAAGAAAAAGGGTCATTTTATAATGTGATTTTAGCTTTCAATTTTAAATAGACATTTAACTTTTTTCTAAAGAGTAGAAAAATAAAAAAGATTTTTTTCCATTTTAAATGATTAAGTTTTTGAATTTTTTTTAATGAATAAATCATTAAAATATTTTATTTTAAATGATTAAGTTATTGAATATTTTTTAAAATAAATAAACCATCGAATATCTAAAAATTAATTACCTGTAATGTAACCAATTAATAAAGTTTTGATGTTGCCACCACTCAACGTCCCATCGTCGCCCGTTTTCCATAACTCCCATCAGTCGTTGGCCCCAACCATCGATCTCCCTCTTGTTTGATATGTTCTTTTATATCTTTCGATCATCCATTTTTACACCAATTTAATGAAGTATATATTGACAAATCAATCAGAAAAAACAAAAGAACAAACAAAAAGAGAGAGATCAAATCAAATAATACTGGTCAAATCAATAACATTGAATTCTGTATTTTATTATAAATTTGAAGTTTTCCTAAAAACATATACACAAACGTTGTCGTATACTTGAAGTTTTTTAAATATGAAAACAAGCATCAAATACGACATGTTTTCAAAAGAACTTATAGAATATTACATATATTTTTTTAAAAATAAGACTAATTAATATCATAAAAGTCAAGATTTGGATATGTAAGATGATGATTAGTAATGATCATAATATTAGTGGGTATTACAAGCCCCCCACAACACACACACACATATATATAATCTAAATTCTTACATCGACTATTATTTAATTATACTGATACTTCATATGAAAAAAAACTATTTTTTAACTTATAAAGAATCATTGAATTAATACAGTTATAAGATATTAGGTTATATTTCAAAATACAAAAGTTAAATATCAGTATAAAATCCATAAGATATATGTGATATATATATATATATATATAAATATATATATGTGATATATATATATATAAACACGTAAACTTTTACATATATTATGAATCGAAGCCCTACCCATTTCAAGTTGTTCAATTATATTGGGTTTTTTGTTGATTAAATAATTGTATTTAGAAAGGTAGGGAGAGAAACAAAAGTGATAACTTCATGGAAGGTGCAAAATTGGTTGTGTCCATTGTATTTGACAAAATGGTTTTATTTTTGGTTATAAAGTCTTAAGTAATTTGCCATGTTACACCCCTTCAAAAACCATATTGTCAATTTCATCCCCTATATTATTGGAAATAACCCTAAATTGTTTATAGTGAAATAGAGTGTTCCCATGTGTTCTAGCTGGTGTACTTATAACTCGTTTCTAATACTTGAAATTGTAACAACATATAAGTAGTCTGAATGGGCGAAGAATGTGTAAGAGAAAGAGTTAATATAAAAAGTGTAAAAATGGATCTGGACTTTTGATCATATTTAATCTCAATTAAACCTACTATATATAATGAATCGCGTTTGATGCGGGGATTGATTCAGTGCATCTTATCATAATGTGCATATAAAAATGGAAATCCCTTATTACGTTTCTCACGCTAACTCTTATTTTCACTAAAACTCAACCATATGAGTATTTAATAAATCATAATTGGTTAATTTAACTAATAAATAAAATGGCCAAATATAATGTCCTTATATATATATATATATATATATATATATATATATATATATATATATGTAAAGTATTTAATTTTAAATAACTGAAGCAGGTTAGAAAATGGTGGGTAAATGGATATATTTCTTAATTAGTTTTCTTACAATTTGTACCAAAAACCAATTATTCAAAATAAATTTTTTGACTCTTAAATAAAGTGGCTTCCAACGTCACTCACTCTGAGTCCCTAATGACCTGACAAAAAGCAAAACATTATGCAGACTGCCTCGTTACAATATCGTCACCTCCTTGAACCACCATCCGTATTGCACGACCTAAGGAGAAGGAGAATACACGAGGTTGTTAAACAATACTTAACAAAATAAATCAAGACCAAGTTAAAAAGTGCTTAACGAAATAAACAAAGGCTGTTGCGATCCTCCCTTTTCATGGGATAAGATTATGACATTGAGGATGATTATATAAAGGACAAATCAAAGAGAGATACAAGACTAATTAGCACTTGCTCATAATTGCTAAGATCATCTTATTTAGAACACACAATTGCATTTTGTTTACTTTACCATTGTTGCACTTTCTTGTTACGTGTTGTAAACCATCTTTGCAAATAGGGATCGACACCCCACCTTGATGTCGAGTATCACCAATCAATTGATGGACACATCTCCATCTGCGATTTTTACCCTCCTTTGTCATCTTCTGCGACCCCAGCTTAATTTGGTATCGCTTATATTGTTTTTACTTTACTTTGTTTTAATTATCACCTCACCTCACATTGCTTATTGGTTGAGTTTTATTTGTCTTGACATCCAAACCATTAAATGTTGTCATACGATGAATTTTTGGTATAAACAATGATCATGTAATTTTTGTACGATCAAGATGTAATAACTTTCTAATCATGATTATCTCAATTGATCTATAACTGAAACTCTCAACATAATGATTATGTATGGAATTGAAGGCTAAATACTTAAAGCCGATATTTGTTTTAGAGTAAAGTACACATCTGATCACTTTAGTCGGCACCCACTATCAACTATTGTCCTTAAACTTCATTTATTACGTTGGTGGTCATTGTGGTTGCCATTTCCTTCCGGTTTTGGTCATTTTGACTAACGGCTGTAAAAATGGCTTTAAATGAGAGTCATTTTGGTATTTTTCATTTTATTTAATTTTCTTTTAAAGAATAAAGAAAATTGGTATATTAATATAATATATATTTTGTGTGTGTGTGTATATATATATACATATAAGTTAAGACACACATATACATCTAGTCTAGATACGACGAAGGACCCACCCCATAGATCGACGCCCACTTATTCATTAAAGCACCTCCATCAAAACCCTTTCCCGTCCCTTTGTTCCTCTTGTTGCTCCTTTTTTTACAAATCCAGTGATTGCTAAGTGCATTTAGTATGATCCATAACAAAATAGAATTCTTAATTTCAAGAATCGCACTCCTAGATTTGCTTTCAATGTTCTTGATGTTGTTACTTGCTAGTTGCAAGCTAAGTACCTCTAGTGAACTCCCTTTTTCCTCAAGTTCATTGAAAATAATCATGTGTAATTTCCAGGTGGGGTTTATGCTTTTACGAATCTTGGGTTTGATTTAATAATCATCACGTGGTTTGTTTGATTTGTTTTGTATTTTGATTTGTACATGCTGGAGAAGATGGCCAGACAGAGAGGATGGTGTTGTTACAACAATGATTAGTTGGTTAGTCACTTTGGAGGCCAGTCATTAGAGGTGGGCGGTGAAGAGAAGATAGAGGCAGGGAAGAAAGAGACAGGGACGGTAAGTGCATTAATGACATAAACGACTAAAATAAAACTTAACTGAATAACAAAGACCAAAAAAAGTAAAAGATCAAATACCCTTTAACTTAACTGAGTTCATTCAGTGAAGTACTCGGATGAACCAAAAGCGAAACAGAATAGCAACCATAGTAACCAGTAATAAATGAAGTCATAGGGTAATAGTTGATAGTAAGAGCCAATCATAGGGACCAAAATGTAATTGTCTCTTTCTTTTATTTGCAAAAGTAAAGTAAAGTAAAGGTGATCTTGTATGATCACAAAAACAGAAAATGAGATTTAAATAAAAAGAAAGTGACAAGTGGTGCGAGTGTGTGACTTGGGATGGTCAACATAGCTTGCTGCTGCTGCTGCTGCTGTCAAATTCGGTTTACACCCATAACCTCGAACCATCAAGAAAACTCCAAACCCTTTCGCCCCATTTTTCTTGCTGTTGACCCAAATAAATCATTACTTAACTATATCTATATATATAATATATATATATACACACACATGTATGTATACAATATAGATACACACATCTATACGTATAATATACCCTAATAACTACAAAAACCAGTGGTAGTCAGCCTGGTTGGCTTAGTAAATATCATGGCTGCGCCGTGGACCCTCACACCACTTTGCTTCATTCGTCCTTTTCATTGTACCCTTCAGCCATCCCTATTTAAACCCTTCTTTCTTTACCCATTTTGATCAACGAACTCCCCATCGATCTCTTTCAACCTTTAAGGGACTCCATTAACGCATAAAACTTGAAACAAAAATGGTGAGAGCTCCCTGTTGTGAGAAGATGGGGTTGAAGAAAGGTCCATGGACTCATCAAGAAGATCGAATTCTCATTGATTATATCAACCTCCATGGTCATCCCAATTGGCGAGCTCTTCCAAAACTTGCAGGTAAATCACCACCTTCATCTCTGATCATAACAATTTAACCAAGTTTTGACACTTTAAAGATTTCAAGAACTCATCTTTTTCCGTTTTGTTCATGGCAGGTTTATTGAGGTGTGGGAAGAGTTGCAGGCTGAGATGGACGAATTATTTGAGACCCGATATTAAAAGGGGTAACTTTAGTAGAGAAGAAGAAGAAACCATCATTCAGTTGCATACCGCCATGGGAAACAGGTGTGTACATGTTTCAAAACCCTAATCAGATCCATATATACATATACATACATATATATATATATATATATGATGTTTATAGTAATATCTTTTGTTTTTTCCTTTATTGATTCATTGGTTTCATTGATCTTTACTGATATTGATATGGATTGCAGATGGTCAGCGATTGCTGCAAGATTACCAGGAAGAACAGATAACGAAATCAAGAACGTTTGGCACACACACTTAAAGAAAAGAGTAAACCCTAACCATACTACTGAACCCACCTCCAATTTTGAAGAAAAACAAGAAGAATCTAAGGAAGAAGATGAACAAACCGGTGCCAGATCATCATCATCACCATTAGAGACGAATTCCACCAGTAGTACTGATCAAACGAGTTATAATCAAATAGATTCTCCACAGCCTTCGTGTACTGAAATTTCTTCAGTAACCACAAGTACAAATGATAACGTGTACAATGAGGAGATGATTTTGGAGAACTTCCCGGAGATGGATGATGAATTTTGGTCTGAGGTATTTTCAGGTGGGAACTCCGACGAGTTTCCGTTGGTCCATGAAAACATAGGTCAACTTCAAAGTGGATGTGGGCAAGAGTCAATTTTGCACGATGATATGGACTTTTGGTTCAACGTGTTTACAAGAGGAGAAGAATTACCACAAATTTAAAGAAAAAGACAAAACTATATATATTTTTTTAGATTTTCTTTTTCTTTTTAACATTTAAAGAGTCGTTCTAACAATTGTACTTGTAATTCTGTAGCGAAGCAACGATCACATTTGTTATCTTGTCTTTAGCAAAATTGACGGTTTTATCTATATCAAGTTAACGATATCGTTTTTAATATTGTTGTTACCTAATCCTATATATTACTTGTTAAAAAGAAATCGTCATACGTACGGTAAAAAAATCATGAAAATTTACATAGAAAAAAGGTTATATATACATATATATATATATTATCAATGTAACAATAGATGTAAGACCCCACAATCTTCACAAATTTTACAAGGGTATATATATAAATTGTAATTAACAATAAAAACTAAAATTAAAAACCGCGCATCAAACGTGGTTTCTTTAAGACCATGTTCGTTGTTTGCTTAATTGACCTAGTCGAAATCTGAAGGTTGTTTCTTGACCCAATTGTTAAAGGAGTAGTCATTTCTGATTTCAGCTGGAAAATACACTTTATTTAACGTGCAATAGTTTCTATATAAACCTCAAGAATATTGATTGTTTTCCAAGAATCACTTTAACCATATTTTAATTTTTTGTTAGATTTTACCCATTATTGTTTTAGTTATATAAGTTTAAAAGTCTCTTAAATATTATCTTATGATGATTGAAAGTAATTATATATATATATATATATATATATATATAGAGAGAGAGAGAGAGAGAGAGAGAGAAAGATCGTTTCAAATGCAACTTATTACATTTGTACAACCAATGGAATCCAATAAATTGAGATATTTATGGAAATGATAAGAGTTTATTTATTATGATTTAAATATTTATGGAAGATGAATAATGTTCATTAATTATGATCAATACTTTATATTAGAAAATAATCAAAACTTACGTATTCATCAAATTAAATGGACGGTTGAGATTGGGTTGTATTGCTTGTACAAATGTAAGAGGTTGTTTTCATGTGAAAACAGTCTGTTTTCGTGAGACAACATTTTTACAGTTAAAACTTCACAGGAAAATGTTGTAAAGATTAAAAAAAACGAACCTTTACAGCAAAAACACTGTGAAAGTTACCTTCACGTCGTTTTTGCTGTGAAGTTTCAAATGTAAAAAAGTGGTCTCACGAGTCTCACGAAAACTGACTGGTCTCACGTGATCACAAGTCTATATACATATACATATACATTACATATATATATATAGGGTATATTTCAAATACAACCATGTCAATTTGTACAACCAATGCAACTCAATCAATTGTGATATTTATGGAAATTATGACAGTTCATTTATTATGATTTGAATATTTATAAAAGATGATTAAATTTTATTAATTATGATCAGTACTTTATATTAGAAAACAATCAAAACTTTAATGAAATCACATATTTATCAAATTAAATGGACGATTGAGATTAAGTTATATTGATTGTATAAATGTAAAGAGTTATATATATATATATATATATATATAATAGTAATTTTTACACGTGATTACATACGTTATATCTAAAATTATCCATTCTAACCAAAAACTTATATTTAAATAACATTGTTCAACAAAAAATAGTTATTTTTTTATTATAAAAATGATAATTACAATAAATATGATAAAGCAAGTGGACAAGGAGGATACGTTTACTCTACTTTGGTAGGTTCAGCAAGTCAAAGTTGGTGGACTGAAATGATAAAAAGTAATTAAAATGGGGTCTATAAAGTAAATATTTTAGTGGCAAAGACAATGCTTAGTGTTGAATTACGACCAAGTTTATTACTTTTTTAATTCACCCCAAATTTCATTTATTCTTATTTATTAATTAATCACCATGTTTTCTGTTTTCTTTTCGTTTTTTAATATTAACCAGATGAACAGTTAATATTGATTTATAAAGTTTATTAGAATTACATAATTTATAACTGTAACACTCTCTTTATATATTGATGATTGCAAACACAATTCATTTTTATTTTTATATATTAAGATTTGTTTTGTAAAAATAGGATCATCCAAGTAAGATAACCTTATACACACCTCTTTATTATAATATTTTAATACTCAATTTTCATGATACTGGCTTAATACCTCTTGGTTTTTTTTTTTTTTTTTGAGAAGACTAATAAGACATTTAAGATTAAATTTAATTAGTTAATCATGTTTTAATCTAGATTTTTAATCAATATTAATAAAGACTTTTGTTTGCCATTTTGAAAAAAAGAAGAAGATATTAATCTTTTATTTTATAATTTGTTGCTCGTGTGATTAATTGACAACGATAAGTTATCGTTTTTGTCAACTTTTTGACAAAAAAAAAATGTGGTCATAGAAAATGATGGATTACGCGCTTTATGTGTATATATTTTAAATTAAAATACTATTTATTGTTTTAATTACTTGTGTTCATGTGAGATATGTCTGTTTTCGTGAGACAACATTTTTACACTTGAAACTTTACAACAATGCATTGTTCATTGTGAAGGTTTAGATTTTTTTACCTTCACAACATTTTTATTGTTAAGTTTCAAGTGTAAAAATTGTGTCTCACGAGAATCCAACCATTGTCTCAATTATATACATGTCATACAAATTTAAATAAAATGGAAATTTTATATATTATATATAGGGGCCTATTCAAGGGAGAACTGAGTTGTTTGTGGTAACTGTGAGAACCAATATTAACCACAAATCAATAGATAAATTAGGAAATTTACAAATTTGGTAATTTTAAATTAAAATCTTAATGCAAGAATATTTTTGGTATTTTAAAACTCTCATCTCTCCTCTCTTCTCTCTCCGGCCACCATTCTCCGGCCTCCGGCCACCGTCCTTCGGTGATACCACTATGATACCACTGTGATACCTAAAAATATTGACTCTGTTAAACAAAAGATATATTGTGATACCTAATCATATATAAGATGCATAGTGATACCACTGTGTTACATCTTCAATCGACCACACAAACGACATCAATGTGATACCCAAACACATATATGATGCATTGTGATACCATTGTAGTATCACCGGAGGACGGCGGACGAATGACGGTGGCCGGAGAGAGAAGAGAGGAGGGAGGAAAGTTTTAAAATATTAAAAATATCCTTGCATTAATATTTTAATTCAAAATTGCCAAAATTATAAATTTCATAATTTATCTATTGATTTGTGGTTAATATTAGTTCTCACAGTTACCACAAACTAATTAGTTTTCATTTGATTAGTCCCCTATATATATATATATATATACATATAAATAAAGAAAGGGGGGAGATTTTAAAAAAACAAGATCAGAAATACAAAAATATTGATATAACACATGATTTTAAACTAAAATTCACATATGATTAGGGTTGGTTCGGAGAGTGCGAAGCAAACCTAATTCACATATGAATTTTTAGCTCAAAATCACATGGCAAAACACATGGTTTGTTTAATGTTTTTCATTTGAATCAAAACATACACATAAATAATATAAAAGTTGTTGAATTTTAACAGTATTAAACTATTTGATGGAGACTGAAACAAATTTGAAAAGAACATTTCCTAATATAAAGTTGAAGAGCCATTGACTTGTCGTTTTATAGAGATCTTAAAAAATAAAGAATTAAAGAGCAATTACTTGTCGTTTTATAAATGTAAAATTAAGACCAAATGAATTGTCGTTTTATGGTTAGTATCATTTGCTCGTTGAATCAACAATATAAGTATACATGTGTCTCTCTCACCTGTAGCTTAATTCGTAAAATATATATATATATATATATATATATATATATATACATACTTACATTGTTCTTCTTAGTTCACGGTCTAATATCGACACGTAGATTCACCTTTGAAATCGAAATCAAAAATCAGATTCAGATTATTGGTCCATACTTCATAGTGGAATCACTTGTTCATAGACACTACTACACTAGCGGTACTGATTCTACTATACTTGGCTCATAGTAGATAAGATTATTCTTCTTGGTTCATTGTACTAAACTTGGTGTAAGAAGCAGTAAATTATAAATAAAATAATATAGATCACAGTATTGATGTTTATAGTCTGATCTTCCAACATGATATGATTTCTTGAAGTGGTTGTGGATTCAAGCAATAAAATATTTATTGCTATATCATTTGGGTTTAAATTCAAGATTGATTTCTTAACTTGGCATAAATTTACCCCTCAATTAAACCCGAAACTCTATTGCAGTTTTGACTTATGATATCAATGTGAAAGGAGATACTTTTTTACTATATAATATGTTGATCTTGATCTTTAATAGGATTGAAAATTTTGTAATGAATTAAATCTAATTGAGATAGAGCAAGACAATTGGTACCATTTTGAGCTAAAAGTCTAAGAAATCAAAGTCAATTTTATATTTGAAAACTAATCACGGGTTTGAAGTTCTAAATCCAAAGATGAAGACCTATTATGAGATCGATATATATATATATATATATATATATATGTATATCTTTTGTTTACATTTTCATCTGGTCTTGCCATGATGATCATGATACATAATCTGCATGCTAATTATAGAAATTGCTTGTACATAAGGTATATATATATAGGGACATGTTCAGCTGCGAACTTAATTTCCGTTGTGAATTAAGGATGTCTTTAGTCGTTTGAGCAAGAAGGAGAGAAGTTATGTTTGCTTACCTAGTGAAGATGAATGGGCAATGACGTCAATTGTTTGTAAAAAATTAAAGTTATTTTACTCGATTTAGTTTTAGTACGATTGACGTTAACTTTGATAATATTACTTTAAACTTGTTGGTCTTGTTTAATTCTTAGGGGTGTTTGGTTTGTAGATTCTAAAGACATCTGGTAGAATTGGAATATTGAATTTCATTGACCAAATTTTATTCCCTCATTTGGTTCATTTTTTTCATGAAAGGAATCTTCAAAATCCTACAAATTTCACAAATAAATGAATTTAACATTCATTAACAACTACATGGTATTCTGATCAAACGGAATTCTCTATTTTCATAATACCAAATATGTCTTTAACCCAATATATCTTAATCTCTTAAACTCATTATGACCATCGTCGACCACCTTCGATCATCCTCGATCTGAATCACCGCTGATCACCGTCATTTGAACCACCACTGGTCTGAACCACCATCGACCATTACCAATTTGAATCACAGCTGTCCACAACCGATTTGAACCACCACCGATCCAAATTACCGGCGATCTGAACCACTGCCGATCACCGCCATCTAAACCACCAAGGACCACCACCGATCTGATACATCGTTGATCTGAACCACATCCGACAACCACCACCTGAAGCACCACGGACCACCACCGATCTGAACCACTGTTGACCACCCACGACTACCACAATCTAAATCATCGTTGACCGCCAATGAGTTAAACAACCACCGATCTGACCACCGCTGACCACCTCCATCTGAATCACCATGGATCACCATCCATCTGAACCACATTCGACCGTCGCCATCTGAACCACCGCCGACCACCGTTGATTTAATAACGTCGTTTGGCTTATGTTTATACCCATATTGTGTATTTTATATTGTTTTACATATTAAATAATTATTTTAGTAAAATATTTTTAGTTTTAAAAAAAATTAATTTTTTAAAAAAGAGCATTTTGGTTATTTACCAATATTTCATTCTACTTCCAAAGCTACATTATATGAACGAAACATACAGATTTCAATTCTTTAATAGATTCCATCCCAAAGTCTGTCAACCAAACATGTGGTCAAACCTGACAACATTTCATTTCAATTTTTTTAACAGATTTCATTTCATTCAAAAAAACATTCTACGAAACAAACATCACCTTAGTTTAATACTTTTGTAGTGTTTTTACAAGTTCAATAAATAGTGATATTGTACAACTTTTTGGTATAAAAAATCCACGTTTTCCCGTTGGGGATCCTCGTTCCCCTTTGGGGGACGGGGCTGCAGATGTGATCATAATCCCTAGCAGGGACGGGGACACATATGGGGGATCGGGGACCGGTAACGGGCATGGGATCCCCCGCCCCATTCCCATCCCTAAGGTTGACATTTCTTTTACGGTCCTAACTGAAAATATGATGAATTTTGTTAAAAGAAATTGATATCTAGTTGTCACATTTGCATAATATAACTTCAAAATCATAATGAAATAACAATAAATAACCAATTAACTACCTTTTTATGACATTTTCATACTTTCTTTCGAGGTTTGGTCTCAAATCGAAACAATAATACTTCGATACAAAGAAATCAATAAATACACAATCAAGATTTAGAACAATAAAGGCACAATCGCACGAATTGGAATCTTGAGGGACCAAATTGCAATTTAAGAAAAGTTTAGAATTTCAAAACCACACAAATAACAAAAACATATGTTTTTTATAATTAAATTAATTACATGCCCTGTTGGCGTCGTAGAACCGTCGTGCTTGAACCGCCGCCGCCTCGTCGGAGACTAAACCCTGGATTACGGCGGTCTTCACCTCCCAAGCGCTGTACGGATACGCTTTCCTGGTGTACGAATTGATCAGCGCCGCCGTGGATTCCTTCACCAGCCGAGCAAACACGTTTTCTCCGTCGTCGTTCCTCGACGTCGCCTCCAACAACGTCAGATCGTACCGGTAGCGTTCGTAAGCTCTAGATCCGAACACTTTCGACACGGCCGATCCCTGTGGTATCATCCTTGGCCACGCCTCCCGTCTGCTACTCCAATACCTGCAATTCCATCACCAGCATCACCACAAAGCGTTCATATTGGTACTTTCGATTATGTTCCTTTTTGTGATAGTGAGTTGAAACGAAATGACATACGCTTCCGATTCAACTCAGTTTCCAACATTCCAAGTTATTATTATTCATGAACAGATTCATCGATTTGACTCGAACTGAGTTGACTCATCCCTAATTTCAATGAGCTTCAAATTACAACCAGGACTGAAGCTTAAAATTGCAATTTATATGAACAGGATATATATATATATATATATATATAGAGAGAGAGAGAGAGAGAGAGAGAGTACTGAGGGGTGCATCTTCCTCTGTTTCTGGTGTAGGCGAAGCCTGGGCCGGCGGCCGATTGAGTTACCATTGGAGCTAGAAACATGAGGAGGAGAAGAAGTGAAGTGGGTAATGGAGGATGGTTCTCCATCTTCTTCGCTTTGGTTTCGTGTGAAGATGTTGTTAACAAAAGGTTAACTTGAGAAGGTGCAGAAGTGAGATTTGGGATCTGAGATTGGCACCATGTTTGTGCAAATGCAGGTAATGCTTTTCTTTTCGAAACTTGTGCTTCTTCTTTTGTGTTTTTGAATTTTCGCTGGATTTGGTTCTCTTTCTTCAAACTCCACTCCTCTGTTTCCGTATGTTTGGACTAATTCCGGTAATCGTCACCTTAAGAGATCCTGCTATTTTTATTTTTATTCTTATTCCTATTATATATAATATTTATTTAAAACCATAAATAATATATTTTTTCTAAAATTTATTTTAATAAATTTAAATATTTTAATATATAATAATCAACACATTATATCTTTTTAATTTTTAACATTTTATTTGTATTACTTAATATGTTATATTATTAAAGATTTGATTTAATTATATTTTAAAATATTATAATTGATTAATTTATTAAAATGTCATTTTATATATTTATCAGCTTGTTTTTACTAAATATGATTTGTTTATCAACTAACTTATAAGTTAATTTATAAATCAACAACTAGTTTATCAAGTAGTTTGTCAAACATAATCTTATGGTAAAAAATGTAAGAATGGATCTATGTTCTTGGAATTGAAGAGTTCACCTAAATAGACACTAATAAGAAGCATCAGATCAATTCTCTTGTAAAACATAATTCATGGTTTGGTTTGAGATTAAGAATGATCAAAGGTCCAAATCTTTTTTTTTATTTTCTCATTTTAACTATTATTCTCACATGATTTTTCATCTTGTATTCTCATCAAATATTTGTGAATATTTTAATATACTGTTATATTTTAAAACATCAAAGAATTATATATATCATATAAAAATGTTTTAATAAGTTTATAAGACATTTTTAGGTGTCCTAAGAAAGCTCCAACCATATCAATTTGCTAATTGGAAGGAAATTCCAACCATAGTGCAAAAAGAACAACAATATGCCAGAGATTGGAGAAACGTGGTATATATATCATGTGATTGGAGTTGATGTGGTTTTTGGTGTCAGTGTTGGAGATGGTCAATTTCACAAGGAATTATTGCAATTTTAGAAGAAGAAAAAAATGTATTATTTGTTTTTTTATGTGACATTATTTGAACGTGTCTTATGAAAAAAAAAACATCTTATAAGAAATATATTCTTAATTAACATTTTATTTTAAGATTATTCTAAAAACTTTGTTAAGATATCCTGTGAACTTATTGTAACACTTTTATATAGAACTTACAGTTGGTTGATTTTATAAACTTAAGTAGTATTAATCATGTTATTAGGATATTTAAACATATTTGACGTTCTATAAAACCAATTTGTTGTAATGACAATACCATCCTCATAACTCTAGCAGGGGCACACCTATTAAGAGTGCAGGGGGTGTGCGGGATACCGTTCTCGTTGCGATAGAAAAGATTTAGGAGTATCAAAGGTGCACTTGCTTAATTTTGAGAGGTGCCCTTAATTTTTTTTTTTTTTTTACTTTTATTGACGATCAACGGAAGTACATAACTACACATAAAGTTTAAATCCTCAACAAGCCAAACAGATATTTTGAGCTACAATGTTTCTGTCTCTTCTAATATACTAAACCTTAAATGATGGTTTTGATTGTAGAAACAAACGTATGACAAAAATCTAAAGTGATTAAGATGGTTGGATTAATGCTTGCCTCATGAGAGGTCTTGGGTTTGACTCATGCTTAAAAATTATATATTAACATAATACTTGTTTATCATTAACTTCCACTATTATGTTCTAATTTTGCATTTGTTAAAAAAAATTGTTACATTAATACCTGTTTATTATTAAACTCGTACTTATAATTCTTTTATATCATGATATTTTTCTTATACAGCTATTGAAGAAAAACCTTGAGTCTATCTCAGATCTCCATAGTCCATATATTTATTTCTAACTCTAGACTTCATAGTCGACAAGTTCTTTAATTCAAAAATACGTTTTTTTTTTCCAAAAAGACCATCCATTTCTATGATTTTATCATGAAAAGAGAAAGAATCGTCGTGTCTTCCTTCGATTTCTTATAAAAGATATTCAGTCCGTCAGAATAGAACTTAAAGAGAGTATTTATGCTCGTCGTGTTCTTTATATGTATATCAGAGGCCAAGAAGCCATTTCATTGACTCGTACTGATGAGAATTTTGCTCCATGAAAAATAGAACAAAAACTTGTTGAATTGGCCTATTTCTTATGCGTACCAAATGAAGTATTTTAAAAAATGAACCAAGAAATCAATAATTTCTCGGTAGGAGGGTAGAATCGCAGGAACCCTCTTTTTCTATAACATAACTTAAATGAGTTTTCTTTTAAAACACTCACTCCTCGAGTCAAAGTAGACATATGTTCAAAATCCATGTGGGTCCCATAAAGCTTATTATTGTGCCTTCCATGAAAAAAAAATGTTGAACTCATAATCCACATGGATCCCACACACACTCCACTCTTGTTTGGATACAAGTTTCTCACCAAGACTTGATTCAAAACAAGATCATGTTTTTGGAAAGTAATGGATGTCAACTATTTACATACATCATCTCATCATATTAATGGAAAGAAAGTCAATGTCCACAGTTGGGTCAAAGAATTCTTGGTTAATCAAGGGTTTCATATTTTTGGTGGAAAGTAATGGTTTTTATACTATTTCCATGCATCTTCTCATCTTATATTTTCATACATCATCTCAGCTCCTCATATATGTACTGTTTACGAAGCACTTATCTGATAAACGTTTACCGAAAAGAATCATTTTTCTCACTTATATTACCAGGTAAGATTCTAGGTCATCAAAATGGCATAACAGATAATAATTTTACTCCATTCTCACTTACCGGATAGGATTGTTGATCCTTGTCATCAAAATGGCATACATATAATAATTTTATACCATTGTCACTTACCGGATA